TACTACTACTTCTGCTACTACTACTACTACTACTACTGCTACTACTGCTACTACTATGCTCCTACTACTACTACTACTACTACTACTACTACTACTACTACTACTACTACTACTACTGCTACTACTGACTACTACTACTACTACTGACTACTACTACTGACTACTACTACTGACTACTACTACTGACTACTACTACTGACTACTACTACTACTACTACTATTATTATTATTATTACTAGTACTACTGCTACTACTACTACTACTGCTACTGCTACTACTACTACTACTACTACTACTACTGTATACTACTGTCAAAGTTACTGCCGCTGCTTCGAAGAAGACCACGATAGGCCGCAGTTGCTGCTACTGCTCGTACCGCTGCCACAACAGCAACAACAATAACAACAACAACCACAACCACAACAACCACAACAACCAACACCGCCGCCGCCGCCACCACCACCCGGCACCCACGACCCACCACCCACCAGCCACCACCCAGCACCCAGCACCCAGCACTACTGCTTGTGGCCACTCTACTGCCCGCTACGATGTTGCTACAACCACTGCTGCCTCCCTAGTACCTACAACGACGACAACCACTACTACTGATACACCATTACCATCCGTGCTGTCCAGCTGCTGAGGTGACGATTTTCCGGCAGTTGAGGCTTCTCGTCGGTACTTGTATAGCAAGCATCGGAGCTCTCTTCTGGTCGATGGTGCTGCTCATGGTGTTGAAAGTCGGCTTCGCACTGATCATCTGCCAAGCTTTGCAGGGGTACGTTTTGGATGACCAGCAAGATCTGGATACGCGGCTGTTAGTCAACAACTTGTACGGAGACTTTGGGAAAGCTTTCTACACAATGTTCGAGGCGACTCCCTGACTACTGTTTTTTCTCTGAGATTCCTCTATCCGAGAATCAATCGGCATTGTAAGGCTAAGCACTCGCCCCCAGATCAGGTAACTCACTCTGGTAGCTGGCCGAGAGTTGTCCGTCCTGTTGTGGACGACGTGGATGCATTGTATGCCATACCTTTCTTAACGTACATCACACTGGTGGTGTTTGCCGTGATAAGGAGCCACGGCTGCAAGGATCGGTGCCTGAAGAATCGGGCGAACTTCTGCGATCATAATATCGGCAGTTCGCTTGGGGCCAGGGCCTGTGTTGCTGTCTTTGCCTGTCATGTTTTGCATAAGGATCGTTACAGCCCTGTTTCTCAAAGAGACTTTGGCCAGCGCCGCCAATGATGCCGACATGGTCATGGAAGACAACCGTCGAATGGCCCGCGATGCCCAAAACAAGCTGGAAGAGCTTTTCCGGGCAGCAGACGATGATGGGGATGGCAACCTGACTAAAGATGAGTTTGCTGCAGCTATGAGTCTGCCCAGTGTGCAAGGCTTCTTGACGTCTCTGGATGTTAGTGTTCGGGACTGCCACCCGCTTTTTGATATCCTGGATGATGGAGACGGGCTGATCACGACCGCAGAGTTCTGCAAGGGCCTGATGCAGCTCAAGGGGCAGGCACGGGCTTTGGATATCTTCGTCTTGCAACGTGAGAATGCTAAGCTCATGAAGGAATGCCAGGACATCCAACGTTTTCTTCTGGACATCTCTGAGTCCTTCAGGGGTGCTGTAAAATAAGGTCTCGAAGAGACCATGCACGATTCGGCTTTCTCAAACTTGCTGGCTATGCTAGCCATGTACCAAAAGAAGATCAAAGCTAGCCTTAGATAGTCTTAGATCGAGCTGTGCAGAGTGCAGCACTTTAAGAGGTACAAGCTTACAGTTTGCTGTAGCCGCAGTGGCTCCAGTGGCTCAGGTGTCCCCTAAGGGGCTGTACTCCCGCATCATCTTAGCCGCAGCCATGCCGTCAAAATACAGCAGTGGGAAGGTCTCGGAGGTGCAATGGACAGAGTTTCAATCCTGGATGCAAACGCAATTGAACCAGAAGTTCCGGGAGCAGGAAGCAAAGATCAAGGAGGCCTTCGACGGCTTGAACAATCGAAGTTGGCAATTGGGCGATGCACGAGCACGTGCAATAAGTGAAATGTCTGCAAGGCATAGCATGGGAGCGGACACGGAACTGGGCATCAGTGCTTCGGACGCTGTTGTGTGTTTGTTTGTTTTTTTGTGCTTGTTCGAGCTCCCTTGAGTGAACTGGCTATTATGTAGCGGTAGCAAGACCAGGACATTAGTCATTGAAGACCGTTGGTGCAACACTGAGCTGTCAGAACTTCCTTGAGCCGCGGGCTGTAAAGCTTGTGCGGGGCAAGGGGAACCACAAGTCCTAGGCAGCACATCGCTTCCCACAGTGCGGCTGGACGACTCGATAGAAGTCGTGGCTCCCGTCTCTCCGCACTCCGAGCACTCGGACATGAAGCATACTCCTCACGTTACTCGTATCTTGGGGAAGGAGGTGGTGAGGGAGAAGTTGAAAGCAAATCAGCCCTTCAAGGCATTTGTGAAGAAGGGCCTCGATTTCTACATGGCTCTTGTTGTTCTTGCCAACCTCGCTTGTATCATAGCCATGACAGAGTGGACGGTGCATCAGACGGACCTGGCACTAGGGCTGACTGATGCAGAATGGGCCGGTGCTTCTCTCGAGACCTTTGAACTTCTTGAATACGTTTTCTTCGGCATCTATCTGCTGGACGTGCTTCTTCGCATGGTCACTCTAAGGAGGGAATGGTACTTTGACCAAATGGAGGGTATCATGTACCTCAACATCTTTGATGGAGTGCTCGTCCTGATAAACCTCTTCGAATTGGTTGCACTTCCCGCGCCGGCTGCCTAGCATCAGCAATGCACACGGTACCTTCTGCTTCCCGTGGCTCCATAAACCCTATATAAACCCTATAACCCTGGCCCTGTAAACCCCATAAGCCCTATATAAGCCATATAAACCCTATAAGCCATATAAACCCTGCCGCTCCTCAGGATGCTTCTCGGAGGGGACCAGCAGCAGCATGCGACCACCATTCGGGTCATCAAACTGGTGCGCATCGTCCGAACGCTGCGCATCTTCAAAACAGTGGCCAAGCGGCACTTGGCCCTTGGAGTGCTAGGATCTACGCTGCGTCTCTAGGTCATCAAGACGAATCGAGGGTGTAAAACTCACCGGACTTCGACTATCTCGATCAAGGGACTGCCGGACTTCGGCTATCTCTGTAAAGGGACTGCCACAGGGAATCACTTGCATTGTTGGGAGTTCACGGTTTTCTGTGGTTTCTTGTGGGCTGGTATGGTCTGTTGTTGGTGGTTTATGGGCTTGGGAAGCTTCCCACTGGGGTCCGAGACACTTGATGAGACACCATAGTGACATGATACCCCTTTGCCTGTAAACCTTAGAAGGATTAAGTTGTGAAACGCTCCGAGTGCCTGTATAACCTGTGTGGAATCCATGCCACCTTACCTTTGATGGAGGTGTCTCTTTTCCGGCAGTTACGCATTCTGGTTGGAACTTGCTTCGCCAGCATTGGGGCGTTGTTCTGGTCCATGATTTTATTAATCGTGCTGCAGATTGGCTTTGCCCTGGCCATCTGCCAGGCTCTACAACTTTTCATTCTGGACACACAGGCAGACTTTGAAGCACGCATGGAAATGCATTCGTATTACGGAAGCTTTGCCAAAGCGCTATATACAATGTTCGAGATTACGTTTTCTGGCTCATGGCCTGTTCGCGTGAGGCCTGTCATCGAAAAAGTCGATGCGTGGTACTCGGTTCCCTTCCTCGCCTACGTAACTTTCGTCGTCTTTGCAGTGATAAAGATCGTAACCGCCCTTTTCTTGAAGGAGACTCTGACCAGTGCAGCAAATGATGCTGATATGGTAATGGAGGATGCTCGACGCACGGCTCAGGACTATCACTACAAGCTTCAAGAATTATTCCACTTGGCCGATGACGACGGTGATGGCAACCTTTCACGGGAGGAGTTCGTGGAAACAATGAGCCTTCCTAGTGTGCAGCACTATCTGAGGATCCTTGACATGAGCATTCAAGACTGCAGGCCTTTGTTTGACATTCTGGATGACGGTGATGGGCTTATAACCATCGCCGAGTTTGTGAAGGGCCTCTCTCAAATCAAGGGCCAAGCTCGCGCGGTGGACATTGTAATCTTGCAGCGGGAAAATGCCAAGCTCTTGGCAGAATGCCATCACATTCGGAAAGACATTGACCGCATCCAAAGAACTTTACCGAGGATGCTCCGCAGTGTGGCCTCTGGCCTCAGCGCAGCTTCCGGAGAGTCAGAAACCGTTTTCACAGCATGACATGGCATGACCACACCAGCTCTCAGTGATCTGGTATGTTTCACCTGTCAGGATACGTACGATTTTGGAGTCACGCATTCGCAACCCCAAAAGGTAGCCTGCAGTCTTGTTGTTGCGCGCCGACCGGCACAGATCGTTGAACAAATTGGCACACTGTCAGACATACTCGGCAGACACGCAAGTGCCAAGAACGTTTGGACCTGTGGCTTTTGGCTCGCAGAAGGGTAAGTCCTCATTTAGAATCAGGCGTGCCGGGACAAAAGGCCGTTTTACAGGCCGGACTTGGTGTTGAAATCCAGGGAGCAGGGGCTTCAGTGAAGCCTCGCCCGGCGCCCGGAGCATCGGCATGCCACGTCCTGTGGCAACCGAGAAGACGGAGTTGTCTGATGAGCAGCAGTGGTTTCTGACTGCCCTAGACATGAAGTTCCGACAGCAAGAGACAGTTATCCGCGCATTGCTTCTCTACTGATTTGAAGCAGCAGTTGCATTTTCAGGATGTGGACCTGCGAGAGCGAAGGGTGTGCGCGCGCATGAAGTACATACTCACGCGCCGACCCCCATGCACACGCACGCACGCACACACATAGCCGCACGCAGGGGCACGCACTCGCCCGCGCGTACTAACTCACAGACAGACAGGCACACAGACACACACACACACACACTTACTTGATTTGACCCTCGAGTGACCGAAGCCAAGCATGGGAAAGCACGTATTCTTATACTCGTAGACTACTGTCTGCACTCATGAAAACAGCTTCACGCAGCTTTGTACATGGAGGTACACCAAGCTGATCAGGCTTGGCTTCCCTCTCTGATGCACAGCTTCGTTGGATACGGTTGCATCGGAGAGCCGTACCCTCTGCTTTTTCTGAATATGCAATCAGCACTGCCCTTGGCTTCAGGGATTTGCACACACAGCTGCCCCAGGATGGGGTAACAGGAATCAAACAGTTCACATTTAAGAAAAGGTATTGTGGTCAAAGAACTTGGTTGTGTGTGGATCCCTCGGAGAAACTTCTTCTGACTGTGCAAAATCTTCTGTGCTGGATACTCTCGGTTGACATATTGTCGACCGATTGCTTGCACATCTTGGTCTCTTCGAGACCGAGGATAAGAGCATCGCGAAGCGAAACCTTTTCTGCTGTTGACTGCCGCCATTTTATGGCCATCACTTCCAGCAGAATTCAAAGGTTTAAACTGGGTTGTCTTGGACCATAAATGCAAGACGTCTCTCTGAAGGATGCAGTATAGTGCCAAGAAACTCTCCGGATTCAACTTCTTCAAGCTCAACAGGATTTTCGTAGAAGTCAAGCTGACACAAGTGGTGAAGTCATGTGAAATGTGCAGTGTGATCAGAATAAACGACCTAACCCATTGTCAACACTGCGAGTACCGGTGAGATCTGATTCCCAATGGCGCTGCCACGAACTTGCTGAAAAACTTGTTGCATTTGAAAGAGCGAAATTTGTAGCGAAAGCATGCGGGAGAATGTCGCCCAATCGAATGTGAAATGCTCGTCCACGAAATTCTCGTTTGGTTCCTCGAAAAATGAGAAGCCATGTCATCTTGGTCATGGTGAATCTCTTTGTACCGTGTGAGCATCCACTGTATTGCAGCTTCGATGCGATGAGCCGGTATCGACGGCCTTGAGAATAGTTGAATGACTCCGGGTTCGTCATGTGAAATACCACAACACTCTGCGAGGCTCCCAACTGCTGCTGCTGAACTTCTTTGTGACCGCAAGGAGGACAACTGGTGTGAGAGCTGGATCGGAAGGTGGTGTAGGGGGGAAATCTGGTGTTGTTGTGGAGGGAACATAGCTGGCTGTAACTGGAAGTAGTTGTTGACGGTGGTGAAGTTGGAGGTGGTGGTGGTGGAGGTGGGGGAACAGGTGTTGTAGGTTTCTGTCGTGGCACTGGAGGTGCAGTCTTGGATGTGGTGTCAGCCGACGGGTTGGGGGGAGTTGGAATAGATGGTAGAGGTGGAGGAGGTGGTGGTGGTGGTGGTGGTGGAAGTGGTGAAATATGTGTGGGTGACAAGATGGATGGTGGTGGTGGAGGTGGTCCTGGTGATGGTGCTTGTGGTTGTGTTGAACCTGGTTGGTGAAACTGGATAGGGGCTGGCACAGGTAGTGGGTCAATGGTGTTGACATCCAGCTGCGGTGGGTTGGGTCGCATGAACTGCAAGCACTCAAGCACAACATGTCTACTCGTTCCATCTCGTTGGAACATATATAAACTGCAAGCACTCAAGCACAACATCTCTGCTGGCTCCGACATACATGAACTGTCGTTCCAACATACATGAACTGCAAGCACTCAATCAACTGTGAGTCAGGGTTCTTGCCCGGGGAAGGGAGATCTCGACCGCCGGGGCGAGTGGGATCTGGCTCTACGTGATCTGCCATCTTCCGATCTGAATGAAACAACCGAAGGAGCACGTTGTCGCACAGGACGAGGCATTTCGGAGCACAAGAATTTTTCAGCATTTAGGCATGAGAACATTTAGGAGCATTGTTGCGCCCGAAGGTGAGTATTCATATGTCTGGCCACCGAGCTCTCTCAACCCAAGATGTTAGAGTTGGAGCCTCACGACGGGCACTGACGGAAAACCAGCCGAAGTACACACTTGATTTGACCCTCGAGTGACCGCAGCCAAACATGGGATAGCACGTATTCTTATCCTCGTAGCTTACTGTCTGCACTCATGAAAGAAGGCTTCACTCCGCTTTGTACATGCAGGTACACCAAGCCGATCAGGCTTGGCTTCCCTCTCTGATGCACAGCTTTGTTGGGTACGGTAGCATCAGAGAGGCGTGCCCCTCTGCTTTTCATTCTGAATATGCAATCAACACTGCTCTTGTCTTCAGGGTTTTAAAGACACCCACCCACACACACACCCACACCCACACCCACACCCACACCCCACCCCCACCCTCACCCCCACCCCCACCCCCACCCCCAACCCCCACCTATTTTTGGGGCATATAAGGCTGGAGAGCCATCAGCATTTTCCAGCCACGCCCTTCTACGATGCATTTACAGCTGGAGATGCAGGTGGTGCGTTGAACCTCGTCTTTTTCGATGGGGTTGGGCTACGGTCAGGCATTTCACGTCGTATAGGGTATGATCGTGATTCATGGCTGAGGGATGTCAGCCGCCATTGACGGGTTTTATGTATATAGCACGGACGCACTGCAGCGCCTGTGTGAGGGTTTACTTGGTCGATGTACTCGGCAGGAGAAGCCATCAGTTTTCTCGCTAAACTTTAGCGGCTACACACTTTCGTCAACCTTTGGTCTAGTTTGGTCTCCGCTCCATGATACAGGGCGACCAAGTTTCGAAAACATCAGCCTTAAACCGAACCAGTGTCTCGTGGCAGTCCTGCCAGAAATGTGAAACGAAGGATGGAGCGATTCAACACATCATTCACTCGCAGACCGTAAACTATCGACTCCACAAAACCGTTCCTACAGCCTGCAAGCTGCCATGTTTGGCCGAAACTAAGGAATGGTAGTCCTCCAACGGCTGCCGACGAAGCACCACCTAGCCCCCAGAGTGACGGCTTTGTGAGCGTCAACCACACACAGGACGCTTTCTTCAGGGTCTTTTGCAAGCTCGAATTTGGGCACAGTCCTCCTGCTGCGCACAAAAGCATGTGCATCGCTGCTGCGGTTACTCTACCAACTCGTCTGAACCTGTGAATTTACGTGGATGTTTGTGGTTCGATCCGTGTGTCTCGATGTGCCTTGTCTTGAAAGCTGTTGGTGAATCTGACCTATGAGAAGCTGTCTGTCTACCGGAGTAGAGACCGGCTGCTGCCACAAGATTTGGCTCCTTCATACGCAGTGGTCCCGCGAAAGTAAAATAAGCCTTCCGAGGTGACGGTCTACTGCGGCCTAGGGGTTAGTTCGTCGCCACGAGATGGATTCTGGACAGTAGTGTTGAGTCCTGCCCATGCACGAGGCCCGAGGTTCTGGTTGATTTCTGTGTCCGGGCTTGCAGTGTGTGTCTTTGCTAGTGCTGCTAGTGCATGGAAGACATGCTCCTCTCTGGTTGCGCAGCTGCCTTGACAGGCAGGCCCTATGTATATTGTGCGTGTATATAGTATATACGTAGGGATATTATACTGCTCTCAGAGGGAGGCATTTTTTCTTATTGTATTTCGGCGCGTATGCATGCACTGAGATCTCTCAGCTAATGCCATTGCCGCTGCTGTTGTGACTATCCGCTCGACGAACACTGTGCGTCATACTGTTTATATGCCATTATGTACCTCAGGTGAGCCTCGGCTTGTCTCCACCTGAAGTCGTCACCGTGGCACCCGCATTTGACATCATCGAGGGTATCTTCTTCGCCGTGTACCTCCTCGACGTAGTTGTTCGCATGATCGTGTTGCGCAAAGAGTGGTATTTCGACGAGGTCGAGGGTATCATGTACATGAACATGTTCGATGCGATCCTGGTCTTGGTGCACGGCTTCGAGCTCATGCTTCTCCCTGTGTCCTCATCTCAGCACGGAAATCATTCCTTCAATGATCCCGAAACCCAGCCCCCACGCATGGGGTCAGGGAAGCCGGCAAATGAAATGTTACGATTTACGAGAACCTATAACTTGGTTGGTACATGTCCTTCCGCGCCTGGGATTTTCTCGGCCGGTGGCAGTGCAGGCTGTCTGGACCTGTGGCAGATCCTCCGCGTTTTCCTTCTGAAGACGTCTTGTTATAAACGCTTCGGATCGCCTCGGCCCGCCTGCTCTCAGGTGCAGTAAGACGAGGAATGGAAGGTGTGAGGGAACAGGGCGGGGTTACTGGGATGGGGAAGCAGCCGCCGGCTTCTCGAGCAAATTCTCCTTGTTTCAGAGGGGGGCTGGGGATTAGGTGAAAGAGGTGGAGGGCAAGGAGGGAGCCCTCTGACCGCTTCGTTAATGAATTGCCTTCCTAGTCCATGACTCACAGGCACACTAGCGGAGAAGCTGCGTACAACGCGTAAGCTATGCGTGAGCCAAGGCAAAATCTTCCCAAAGTGGAATAAAGCACCCTACAAGCCTGAACTTGTATTGTCGATTCTTGTGCTCGTGCAGGGAGTCCTGCAGGACAAAAAAAGATCTCTCAATCCACAGGGTAGAAGTCGTGCTTGGCATCTTGCTCCTCTGCTCCTCTCCTGAATCCGTCGTGTGGTCCAGGTTCAGTAGGCAAGAAGAGGCCATGAATCCAGAACCTTACGGCACCTCAGGCGAGTTCGTTTGAGTTGTGAGTGCCGACAATCCAAGCCTAACCAAGTTTCAGGTTTTTCTCTGGAGACTCAGAGCAGCGCGCAAGCACCGTCCGGGTCATTAAATTGCTACGACTCTTGGACTCAGCTTCGTCGGGCTTTGCGACCTAGATCTTGGAGCATCGTGAGATTTTGCTTTCAGGCCTTGATACTCGAGCGTTGTCAGATACCAGATTTGAAGCTGCAGGAATCGTGCGGACGCTCCGCATCGTCAAGACGGTGGGGCTTAGTCAAATTGGCAAGTTGATGGAGTCAACTCTTTGAGTAGGAATCGTTCTGGTTGCTTGCGGGTGCTACAAACAGGTTGGGATGGTTTGGGCCTTTCCCGAGGTTTAGATTTCTTCCGTGTCTTTGAGTCGCCATGCAGTGGTGCCGTGATGAGCCTTCAGCTCTTTGTCCATGTCCATGTTAATGTGACTTCGGGGCCTTCAGGGTGTTATGCCTCAGGTTGCACTGTTTCGGCAGCTTCGCCTATTGGTGACGACGTGCGTGGCCAGCATCGGAGCCCTGTTCTGGTCCATGGTCATGCTCTTCCTCATTAAGCTCGGCTTTTCACTCATTATCTGCCAGGCACTCCAAGGTTACATTCTAGATGAAAGCAATGATATGGACACCCGCCTGGAGATGAATTGGTTGTACGGCAGTTTCCTGAAGGCTCTCTACACCATGTTCGAGGTGACACATGCCGGAAGCTGGCCTACGAGAGTGCGGCCGGTCGTTGACAAAGTCAGCCCTTGGTATTGCATCCCATTCTTGGGATACATTACTCTGGTGGTTTTTGCTGTGATACGAGTAGTGACGGCCCTCTTTCTCAAGGCCAGGGTGTTGAGAAATGTGTTTCTTCTTTGTCTGTGGTTTTTCTCTGACTGATTTGTCCCGAACCAGTCTGGAGCTGTTTAGATCCCTCGTGCCCGCGCGGTCACAGCATGTCGTGCAAGGAGACGCTGGCAAGTGCTGCCAACGACGCTGACATGCAGATTGAGGAAAATCGCCGGACTGCCAAGAACTACCAGGAAAAGTTGGAAGACCTTTTCCGCGCCGTTGACGAAGATGGTAATGATTGGCTCTCTGCAGAGGAGTTCATCCGGGCACTGAGCCTCCCAAGTGTTCAGCGATACCTGGCCATTTTGGATCTAAAAGTGTCAGATTGTCGCCCTTTGTTCGAGATCCTGGATGATGGCGACGGGAAAATCACCATCGCGGAGTTTTGCCAGGGCTTGAACCAAATCAAGGGGCATGCTCGTGCTCTTGACATGGTAGCTCCTCGGACGTCCAATCCAGGCATCAGGTCATCATGGGGCCCTAAAGCCTAATTCACGTAGACCAAGTATGCTGTTGACAGTTTCCCTGCAGAGTGACTTAGTCAGCGAAGCGTATGCGCACAAAGACCAAACATCCCCGACCGTGCCCGAGAGGGAGAACGCAATTAGCACGGACAGGGAGTCGCTTGCTTTGTGCGTACGATGCTGCAATGCCAAAAATGGATGGGCCGAAGCATCGGAGACTGAACAGCAGAAATTAGGACTATGAATCAAGATTCCGAAAGAGTGAGAAGGCAAGGCAGGCAGCAACGGCACCCCGACATCGGTGCCAATTCCACCCCAGATTTTCGACCACGCGTGGTTTGGGAGGCCTGGCCAGACCATAAAGGCTCCAATAGCAACGGTTGCACAGACCTGTGGTTGTTCAGTGCTTCTGAACCTGTAAAGGACCTCCGAACTGTGCTTTCACCGAGGTCCTGCAGCGCGAGAGCGCCAAGGTGCTAAAAGAGTGCCAGGACATTCGCACAGAGCTGAGCCTTGGCTGCTACTAGCACAGTACCCGCCACTACTACTACTACTACTACTACTACGGCTACTGCTACTCCTACTCCTACTGCTACTGCTACTCCTACTCCTACTCCTACTCCTACTCCTACTCCTACTCCTCCTCCTCCTCCTCCTACTCCTACTCCTACTCTTGTTGCTGCTGCTGCTACTGCTGCTACTACTACTACTCCTCCTACTACTACCACTACCACTACCACTACCACTACCACTACCACTACCACTACCACTACCACTACCACTACCACTACCACTACCTACTACCTACTACTACTACTACTACTACTACTGCTGCTACCGCTACTGCTGCTACTACTACTACTACTACTACTACTACTGCTACTACTGCACTACTACTGCACTACTACTGCTACTGCTACGACTACTACTACTACTACTACTACTACTGCTACTACTGCTACTG